GCATTTATACTTGAATTTGATACACAGACTTTAAAATAATTTTGCAGAATTAAAAAAATATATTTATCAACGAATAATTTCTGAAAATTAAACAGGCTAGATCTAACAAATTATAAAAATTATCCTATCTTTCCACGGTAAAAAAAAACAAAAAAACAACCCTGTTCCTTTTTTTCTCCTGCTTCTAAATTTAGGACTTTATTGCGTAGAGCTGAGTCAGGGTTTACCCAGTCTGGGTGGTAATAAGCACGTGTTATTCCAATGTTTAATTTGAAACTGAGGTAAATTGTTTGTAAAAGTAAGTCAGTGGGGTTATGTTTTCATTAAGCAATCACATTAAAATCACTCTCATGTCACACACTCACATATGCAAAAAAAACATAGCATACACGCATTCAAATTTGCACACAAGAAGAGTGCAACGGGCAGAGTATCAGATCTTCTTTATAATAAAGATTTTTGGGGTGTAGACTTTTAACATATATCTTTCTTTCTCATTCATGTGATTAGTAATATGTATATGTTAGTTGCCGGCATCCGTTCACATTTGACCATCGGGGTCGTCGTCCTCTATCCGTGTTCCCTTTCTCTGCCCTGGTGGCGGTGACGTTGGCGGAGATGGCTGTGAAGCAAAGAGAGTTTGACATGGCCATTCACAGGGATGTAAGTTCAGTGGACAAATCTGCGCGTCGGAGAAATACACACTCTTGAGCCTAAAAGCCTCCCTCGCGGCTCAAAGGAAATAGAGACAGGCGAGATCTAACAAACCTGGTTCCATCGGGCTGTCGGATTCCTGGTCTGTCAAGATCCGTCTTGTCTACGCTAGTCCTACTGGTGCTGCTCTTTTCTGTCAGTTTAACCGTTGATATCATGTAGATCTTTGCCTATTCCGTCGTTGAAGTTCTTTGGGGGTTGGTCGCCTTCAGCATGGTCCTTCAACATCGACCTAACGACGTTGGGTAGGCCTACAGCAGTTGGAATTCCAGAGGGCTTCGCTTTTTGGTATCACTGGTACAAGTAAGCCCTCTACTATGACAAGGCTCGACTATATATATTTGTTTATGTTAGTACATTATACATCTACACGTTAGTACATTAGTACGCAGGAAAGAGGAGAATTTCTTTAGAAACAAAGACTGCTAAACAGTTATGTAATATGTCTGCCAATCTCCCCACAGATGAAAAGAATAATGGAGGTAACAATAATTTGGTTCTACAGAAAGATACTGGGAATAGCATATACTAAACGCATGCGTAACGAGGACGTTTTTAAGGAAAATATAAATATTAAGGGCCCTAATGTTTTTAATCCGAGACAGTTGAAATTTCTAGTAGGCACGAGGAAAAAAAGGCTTGGAGGATCTAATATTTACAGCTCATTTCTTTCTTGGAGGTAAAAGGGAGAAGGGAAAGCAAAGAGTCATCTCGCTAAAGGGTTTGTAAAAATGGATAGCAGGGTGGGGAGAAATAAAAACAAAGTTATTAAAAGGTACAAAGAGGAGGAAGTTGTGGAGAGCCATGATCAATCACGTCCTAAAGCAAAACGATAATTTCAGTACACATACACGCGCGCGTACGCGCACACGCACAAACACACACACATACACACACACTCACCCACATATATATATATTTATATATATATACATACATACATATATATATATATATATATATATATATATATATATATATATATATATATATATATATATATATATATATATATATATATATATATATATATATATATATATATATATATATATATATATATATATAAAAAGAGAGAGAGAGAGAGAGAGAAAAGAAAGGGGGGCACTTCGACGTGGTGTAATGGTTAGCAAGCTTGTCTCGCTATAACAATAACGACTGAGTAGTGAGTTCGAACCTCACTGGGTGCCCCATACTTTCGGCTTTGTGCAACATCTAAGCCGGGCTTAGAAAATCACTATGTGTATATATATATATATATATATATATATATATATATATATATATAGAGAGAGAGAGAGAGAGAGAGAGAGAGAGAAAGAGAATAGATAGACTCAATACACAAATAAAGTTTGTCATTTAGCTTACTGAAGTTACCTTCAGCATCTCGAATCTAGAATTTTGTGCATGGGCCCTCCAACAATCACTTCGTCTACTCGTCAGGGGATATCAGCAATTGACTGTTTATTTTCTAATTTGTCTTTTATTTATGCACTTTTAATTGGTTTCATAGTGGATTTGTGTGCGTGCGCCGACGCTCTTGAGGTTATGTGCGTACGTATAGAACGCTATTTCTCCTCTTTGTCGTTTTTCTTGCATTCTTATATTCTCTTTATTGGTTTTATACATTTTCTCTCTCTTTCAGTTGTAGCAATTTTGACGTACGGTTTTTCAAACAGTTACTGTTCTAATTTATTCTGGAGCGTTCTAGGACTTTCTTGAGTTTGGAAATTGTATTTGGTATTATTACTTAAATTATTTTATTTTTATTAATACTTAAATTATAAGAAAAATATTTACATGTCTTCCCTTATTGTTTCCTTTTTTATTATTTGATTTGGTGGTATCTTAAACATTAGGGTACTAATAGTTTGGAACCTTTCTCAACAGGTATGGTCTATGTGCTCAGAATGTAGATAGTAACAGGATGTTAAAGCTGGTATTAAATTTGTCCTAACTCCAAGTATGTGTCAAGATTTGATTGGTTGAAATTAACCAAAATTCGAACATGTTTAATCATTTGTCTTGTTTTATTTTTTATAATCATTTCATGATAGTTGATTTTCAGCCATTATTTTGACATTGGAAAATCATTTAAATCTTGGTGAATTAATGTTATAATTGATAGATTGGTTTAACTCAATACTCTTTTTTCAAAAAAAAATTACCAATAGACTTTGAGGCCTTATAACATAAAGGTCAAACAAGTTCCGCTATTTTACCATAGTTTGCTTGCTTTTTTCAAACTCTAACCCCCTAAATTCAAAGAACGCTAACCCAAACACCCAGAGATATCATCTTTTTTTTTATTTGCATTTTAGTGTATGTTCCAAAATACTAAAACAATTTAAGCTTGCAAAATGTAAGAAAATTTTTATCGGATCGTTATACTCAACATACAAACATACTCAATATATTTCATAAGTTAAACATATCATTAATCAATTTTAGCAGCATATGCCGGGTAACAACTATAATTCTCTAAACTTAACTTCCGTTTTGTTGCGTTTCAGCTTAGACCAGACACCAGGTTTGTGACAGGAGCAGTTTCTTCGCATCAACCCCTTGTAGCTTAAAAATTACCCTTCGGCCATATCATTAACCATAAGTGAAGAACAAATCAATTTCTTGCAGTAAAGCAGATTTTATTCTTGGATAGTAACTTACTGCTCTAAAAGAGCTAAGTGTAGATGAGGCCTAAGTGAGAGGGGAGGTACACAGTTTAGCGACCGTCTTCGTTTCGTCTGTGAGATTTACTTGGAATGGTCAGTTTTATAGATAAGAATTTTCTTTGTCTTGTAATCTTCATCTAAATAAGTAATTAATCTTCCTTCCGTGATTTTCTCTGAGTCGCGCTCTGGACTTTGATGTTGACTTCACTTGCTGATAACCATCGGTTGAAAGTAAATTTTCCGTATCGAGTTTTGCGTTCAGTCTCTCTGTTTATCAATTTAACAAGGTATCAGCTGACTTATATTGCTACAGTTGTATTCATTACTGATCTAGGTCTTTTTTTGCTATCTACTTCACACTGAAAATTATCTTATTATTTTAAAACAACGCATTATTTTATATTATTTAAATATAATTGAAAAATAAACATCATTTTATAAAACTAAGGTATATAAAAAAGGGCAAAGTAGCAGCCACATTACAATACAGCTAATTCCTGGTTGACTCGAATTGCAACGACATGGATACTTAAAATGGTAACATCAAATACAATGAATTAAACGAGAGTGTAAATTCAAAGGGGAAAACATGAAGGATTCTGGGAGGGGATATTTTTTGTGCTACTCCGATTTTCTTTAAAATCAGTAGTTTTATTCTGAAGTTACATATGTCTGGAAGGGAATCGTTTCCACAGTCGGGGGACATATATTTTGAAGTTACATATAAGTGGAATGTAACCGCCCCCACACTCGGGATCCATGCATATTCACTAAGATACAAAGGATAAGTATGGCATTATAGTTCGGTATTCTTTGCTTTGATTCTTATAACATCTTTTCTATGCCAGGTTCCTCCATTTCTTCAGTTCTTTGTTTCGGGTGCTTCTCTATATTTACACTGAAAAAAAAACGATTCCTTATTCTGCGCGAACAACTGTTTTCAATATGATAGTATCCATTTTCGATTCTCTCGCAACTGGATAGAATATGATGGCTTTATCTTAAGTTTTAAGCCTATTTATTTTCTTGGTTAGAGATTGTTTTATTCCCATCATCATTTTTTAAGGATGTATGATTCTTAAAGAGAATATTGGAAAGAGGTTTTCAATGAAGGAGAATTATAAAAAATGTAAAAGTAAATAACAAATATATTTGTTAAACTTGACTGGCTAAAAAATAATGACATAGAAGAGGAAATAGTTACGTGTGAGCAACAAATCTGAGAATGGCTGAATATGTTGATTCATTTTGTATTCTACTATATTTATTATTTCTTCTTTCATTAGTTTTACATGTTTAAAAAAATTTAGAACAGTTTGTGGCCGCAGGGTTTTTCGTGTAAATTGATATACAAGCGTGATATTGAAGTAAAAACAAAAAATTAGTTTAAAAATAATATGACAAACAGAGCAATGGAAGACATTAAGAAAGTAAGAAAACGAAAGAAATAGAAAGAAAATTCACTTGGAATTGTAGAAATCGAAATATAAAAAAAAAAAATGAACAATTTAAGCAAGAAAGAAAAAAGATTGAAAACATCCGAAGTTAAATTAGGAAAGAAAACGAAACATTTTCTAAAAAGAAGAAAACTGGTAAGAAATAAAGAAATCAATTTCAGTGATAAATTTCAGTGGGATTTTCAGGTAGCCAAAGATAAAAAAAATAAAAAGTGGAGCAAGCAAGAAGGAAAGAAAGAAAGAAAAATAGGAAAGAAAAAGGTATATTCTCTAAAGAGAAGAAGAAGAATGGTAAAAGAAAGAAAGAAAAAAATAAATAGGAAAGAAAAAGGTACATTCTCTTAAAAGAAGAGAGATGGTAAAAAAAAGAAAGAAATTTCAGTGGATATTGCAGGTAGCCAAAGATAAAAAAATAAAAAGTGGAGCAAGCAAACAAGAAAGAAAGAAAGAAAGAAAGAAGAAAGAAAGAAAGAAAGAAAGAAAGAAAGAAAGGAAGATATTCAAAGATAAATGAGGAAATCAAAAGCAGATATTCTAAAAAGAAAAGATGTAAGCAAAAAAAAAAAAAGAAATCTGTTTCATTAAGAAATTTCAGTAAATATTGCAGGTCCTCAAAGAAAAAAAAAAGAAAAATTGAATCAAGCAAGAAAAAAGAAAGATATTTGAAGATAACTAAAGAAAGAGAGATTTTCAAAAAAGAAAGAATTTTGCAAAAAAGAGATCAATAGATGAAGAAATTTCAGAGGGAATTGCAGGTGGACAAAGATTAATAAAATGAAAAATTGAAGAAATAAATAAATATTCAAAGACAAATTAAGAAAAAAAAAAAAAATTTTCAAAAGGGAAGAAAGATGATATAAAACAAAGAAATCAATAAAGAAATAAAGAAATTTCAGTTGCAATTGGATGTATTCAAAAATAAAGAATGAAAAAGACAGAAAGACGGAAAGAGAAATAAAAATAAACGACGACCGAGTAAAAGAATGGAGATTAAGAACAGAAAAAGTATCTTTAGAATGAATTGTGGTCAAAGAGAAATTTGGCAATAATGATGATCAAGAAGAAATTAAAGACGAAAGGCGAAGATTAAAACTAAGCGGTATGTATGATTGAAAAATCTCAGAAGAAATTTAACAGAAAAACAAAACAACCCCTAAATTCCGTTTAAAGGCTGGTGGGGGGGGCACAGAAAAAAGTTAAATACATTACCAAAATCAGAGGAAATAGATTGCTTAACAGAAAAGGAAACATAAGTTACGAGAAATGGATCAGTAAAAGAATGGCAGTATCGCGTGGTGGCATATTTTATTTCCTGGTAGAACAATCTACGCCGAAATGTAAATTTGGACGAAGAATAACCATTTTCTTTCTTCCTTTCGACAAAAAACGAAACATGCAAAGCAGACAGGAACTGCAAACCATTAATCAGCCGAATAAGAAAAAAATAATCTCTATCTATAAAAGGCAGGATGTGTGTGTGTGTGTGTGTGTGTGTGTGTGTGTGTGTGTGTGTGTGTGTGTGAATGCACGGCCGCAATTTTCGACGGATTTGCACCAAAATTTACATACACATGCTCCAAGTTAGCGCGAAGATCAAGACCGACTTTACATTTCCCAATTCTCATCGATACTGGAAATAATCGATTTTTTAATGCTTCTATGGCAGTTTTCATGTAGTTTGCGGCCATTTTCTACTGGCCAGAGTGAGAGCTTATAGCTGGCTGCCACGAATAGGCAGGAAGATTCTATTGGCCAGCGTGAGAGCCAACAGCTGACTGACACGAATGTTAACTAGCATGCGAACATGCAAAAAAATCGATAGCTGCATTTGTCACAAGTGGGAAAATTTAAATCTGCATGGCACTTTACTCCAATTGGCTCATTTGCTTGCTTAAACTCAACGTTGATTCCGATTCCGCAGAACTGGGTTGGGTGTCAAAAAGTATTTGTTGTTAACATTCTTTTTTCATTCGGTTTTTCCAGTTACGAGTCCTTTTTTAAAGCTGATCGTTTTGTGTTCATTTTGTTTAGTTCTTTCTTCGTAACAGATTTAATGTTTCAAAAAAATCGCTGTGTGAGATAGGCAAGAAGTAAGGCATGTAGCAGAATCAGCACGGCCAAGGACACTCCTTTAAAGGCAAGGAAGGGCAAAAATATTTTAAGTCAAGTGATAGCGATTGTTGTATGAGTCGTACGATTTTTGAATCAAGCACGGGCAACGCCGGGCTATGCTGCTAGTCCTCTTATAAAGCAAACGCATTTTTAGACGCGTTACAATAACCGTGAAGGATAAAACAGTTATAGGAAGCCGCAAGAAAATGACGGTTGGAAAAGGATGATAGAAAGTGAACAAACAATCAGAAAAGATTACAATATTGTTTGGAAATTGAAAACTAATTTTAACATTTGTAAGCACCCGCCTATTATACATATGTAGTTAAATTAAATAACGAATGTCAGAAGAAATTTTTATATCCCTGGTATTAACAGTATTTGTAAATTTTCAGAATCCTTGGTTTATACGCATTTTACATTGACTGCATATTACGAAGAAGCACACAAAAAGGAATTCTTCAGAAAAGCCTATTATTTTATTGTAAGGGTTATTTCTCCACGAAAAACACCTCGGGCCGAAGCGAAATGACGTTAAAGACGCTCTTTAAATTTTTGAATGCTGCAACCTTATTGTGATTTGAAATAGAGGACGAAGTTAAACTTCGTAAAAGCTTTCGTGAACGAAGAATAAAAAGTCTTGTGAATCTGATAAAACGCAAAGAATAAAGCGAAATAAAATTAACAAAAAACTATAAGAGAAAGAAAATGAGTTGTAAAGAAGAAAAAAAATGTACAAAATACAATGCTGTTGAGAAAATAGCCAAACATTTTAACTAGTTAACTCCACATTTTCGGCATAAATTTTCGATACCTATGGTTTAAAATGAATTTTTAAAAATTAAAAGGCATTATTAAATATTTCATTTTTAGCTTTATTTGAAAGATACACTATTAAATTAAATTAAATTTATTATTATTTATTATTTCTAGTAAATAAAATATTCTGGTGTCTTTCAGCAAACAAATTTATCTATTTTAAAACTCTTCCAAATATATAGTCGCTGTCTCACAGACGTGCCGTCGCCTCCCTCTGTCTTTTTTACAAATACTTCCACTGGAACTGCCCCGATGAGCTACTTTTGCTGGTTCCCAGACTTCTTGAATTTAAGCGTTCAACATCGCTCTTACCCTTTCATTGTCTAAACTGTTAAATGTAGCCGTCTCTTCTACTCCAATAGCTTCATGTCTTGCACCCCTCGCCTGTGGATCTCCCTCCGCTTTTCTTTCCCCTGATAGCTGTAATCTCCAACTATTCAAATATAATGTCAACTGACGTCCCCAGATGTCTTGATCTATCCCCTATCTTTCTCTTCATCCTTTCCTCTATAATTCCTCTTTGCTCTCGCTCCAACTCTCTGTAACTCTTTGCGCGCTCGTGGCTCCCCGCCTTGCTTCGGGTGAAACGATATATATATATATATATATATATATATATATATATATATATATATATATATTCTGACACGTTATTTGAGTAAACTTATAAAATTTGAAGTTAAATTAATCTGATTTCAAATAAATATTACTTATACCATAAAAATTAATATACAACCATTTGCGATTGATCAGCATTGTTTAAGTGAAGCGATGTTTGATGGATGATAAGCTGACGAACCAATGACAGCTAGTGTGGTTGGCTAGAAGTGCTATAAAATTTATGAAATCCAAGTGAACCCATGTTTTTTTTGTTTTGTTTTTTTATCTACGTAGTAATTTTTACAAATGACCATGTTTTCCGTAATTATCCCATAATTTATTGGCTTTTATTTACCTTTCGAAGATGCTTTATGCAAAAATAAAAAAAAAATAAAAAACTATAAATTTTGAATTTAATTTTTCTGTAAAGAGACAGAGACAGAACTATTAAATCAGATGACCTTTTCATATTAATGTCATGTTTAGCCTTTCATGGATGAAAAAAGGAAACGAATTAAGTGTAGTAAATAAAAACAATTTAAAAAATAGAATCGTGTAACTACGTTTAGTAATCTTTTCAATTTTGGATTCATAAATTTAATTTCCACTTAATTACTATATCATATCCAGGAAATAGCCCAATACAGAATTTTACAGGATTTTAAAATATTATAAATTATTATAATTATAATTTAAAACAAAAGTAAAAAATATAACATTCTCGTAAAAATTCATCATTCACCAGAAAAATGTTATTTCTTCAGACAATAATGTCCTTAATATAAATTATTTACAAAAGCAATTAAAAGCTTTTCTAATTAAATGTCATAGTCTTGTTGCATTTATTATTTTTCAATTCAATGCAGATTTTCAGTTTTAATAGTGCAAGTTTGAAAATAAAATTAGCTGAATTAGATTCTCCCAGGAGTCCTACTTTTAACGAATAATACAAATTCAGGAAAAAGAAAAGTTTGTTCTTTTTCGAAATTTCAGGAAATTAAGTAAGTGGGGGTAACATATATATATATAAAAAAAAAAAACTTTTACCAAAATTTCCTAAAAAGGAAATTTTGAAAAATAATTTCATTCATTTGTGAATAAGTCCTGAAAATTTCACTGAAATCGGACAATTATTTGATTTTTACAAGAATTTCCAAATCAATGTTTTCAACAAAAAAAGCGCAAAAAAAGTCAATGTACACTATTCACATTATTAGGACTATTGTCTTCATCTTTGTTGCCTTATTTATTACAATGTTTCGGCCGTTGTACGCTCCGACCTTCTTCAAGTGGTTGGAATATCGAACTGAACCGTTTATTTCGCTCGCTGGTCTAAACTGTTTTAGTTCCACGTGCTATGTCTAATGGATGTCAGTTATCAGTTATCTCCTGTTAGTTCCCCTCTCCAAGTTCTCTAACGACTTCTACAGGTATTGAAATATAGACAGATACTGAAAGTCAATGTAATTATTATGTCACGGTGATGACGTAAACAAAACAAGATTTTAACCAAATTTTTGAACGTGTTAGAAAGGATGAAATTTTTTTTTAAAATACTCCAAAAAATTATTTTGTTTTCAACTTAATACTAACATAAATATTCTGACGATAAAACATTCTTTTTATTAGGTTTGGAGCCTTTTATATTACGCTATGTTTCTTTTTTTTTTTTTGGTGAAAAATTGGAGATGCCTGATTTTCACCATCACCAGGAACGTTTGAGGTACTTTCTTTTAATTTCGCAACAAATGAAAAAAAGATTACGGCAAATATACGAAAAGATTGTGGTATGACTGTTGAGATGTTTTCTTGTACAATTGATATCTAACAGCCATCTTGGAGCGAGAGTTAAATATAGAAACTGAACGACAGATTTGCTTATGTCAAACACTTCTTAGACATAAAGGAAACTGATAAAAAGTCCATGATGCAATTCACCAGCAGATAAAAAAAAAAGAGTAGTAAAATTTGAATGAAAGATAATGTATGACGTCATTTGTTTACATTTGATACGCCATGATCAGTTTTGAATGTATGAGATTCATAGAAGATTGAAGTTTATAAGCAGTAAATTCGACCTTGCCTACCGAACGCTCCTTTGTGGTCGAGTCGGTTAAGGCACGTCAGCGTAAATGACGAATATTTTCTATGAAAATTTCTCGGACATACAGGCCGGTAAATGTTATTTAATACTGGTTATTATAAACAGAGCATTTACTTAAATACTTGTATCTATAAAAAGAATGTTAAACATAAAAATGTCTTTATATACTGAAAGATAAGTAAATACAGGGTGCGATGGATAAATTGTCATTTAAATTACTTGAAAAAATGAAAATAACACTGACATCTCATTTTAATATATATATATATTTACCAAAATAACACAAAAATATATTAAAATACTAAAGAGAAAATTTATTCAATAAAATCACCATTGGTTTCAACTACGGCCCCCAGAAAACTTCGGAATCTCCTGCAATTCTTCTGGACGGTCTCCTTGCATACGTTGATGAATACTGTCATAATGCTTTCCTTCAGTTCGGCCATGGTGTTACGAGGTGTTTTGTTGGCCTCTAGCTCAACTTCGCCCCACATATAATAATCAAGGGGTTGCAGTCTGGGCAGTTAATTGGCCAGATATAAGGGGTGATGTGTTTGCAGAAATTGTCTGACAGCCATAACTGGGTTCTCCTGTTTGTATGGCATGTTGCAGAGTCCTGTGCCAAAACACAGGGTTTTCCAGCAGCCACCCTCTTAGCTCAGGGTAGTATATCTCTTCAAGGCACTTGATGTAAACCTCCATGTTGAGTTTGAGGCCCTCATCAATAAATTCGGAAGTTTTTTCATATCCGAACGATCAGTGTTAATTTTCCGAGCTGCCGTACCTTCGTAATCACCATTAGACTCAACCAACTCTTTTATGGTTTGCACTGGTCTATGGCGATAATTTACCCATCGTACACTGCCTGTGAAATAAACCCCAAGGTAAGATAAATACAATTTTACAAATGACTTAGGGTAACGCTCATAGCACATAAGTTGATCTTTCATCTTTCTTTCTTTCTTTTGATAATTCATCAGTTTACTTTCTCTTATTCCCCAGGGAAAACGGCGTTCATTTTATTTAGGATTTACGTGTTTTTAATTTTTCTACACACAATATATTCATTATAAGTATTTAAGACAAGAGGTTTAACCTCCAGTTCTCGTATGATCACCGAAGTTAAGGAATGTCCAGCCTGGTTAGTACCTAGATGGGTGACCGCTTGGAAATACCAGGTGCTGTAAGCTTGGATGTGCGGGTGGTGTAATAGATAATGGCTCGGAAATGAAAATTAGAGAATCAAGTTCTAGTCTTGTACGTTTTATTCACTTACTTGTAAATACTCTTGGTAAAGAAAGAATATTACCATTTTTTCCCTGGCAGTAGGTTAATTGGTAGGAGTTGTATCAGTAAATCATTATTATCTCCAAAAGATTATCCCAATCTAAAATATTTTCTGCCTTTAAATAACCTACAAAATGTCGATAACCCGTAAAAAATCATTATGCAAATCATTTTAGGGAAACCGCCGAGTGTGCATTGAAAATGCGATGAGAAAATTTTATTCATTATTCATAAAGTGTATTTTAGGAAGATAAAGATATTTTTTCAGTACCATTGAAAAAAAATCTAAGGGGTACCTTTTATGTCTATAAGCTGCACGTAGGCTGTAATAGTTTGAATGTGTCACCTAAAATAAATAAAAAACAGCAGTTGTTATAACTTTTTTAGTCAGTCAGTTGAGTGCCTCACGTGATACACGCTTGGGCGATCCATTTCTATTTATGACTGACTACGGATAAGATTTTCCCGAAGTAGGTTGCCGTTTCATTCTGGGTTAGACTGGCTGCCGACCAAGGCTATAAGACCCGGTCTGCCCTGATGTTCAACTCATAGCTAGCTGGGTGGAGGAGAAGAGATAGATTCATACCACTCCCAACGGTGTTTGCCGTCCTGGGTACGACGATACGCTACATCCGCCTCCTAGGTAAGACGACAAACTACGTCCAACAGCAAGGCCTCTGATCAAGAGGTTTTGAGGAGCATGGAACCACCTCTTAATTGCTGCTGTTTCCAAGACCACCCTGACCCGGGATGGTAGTGCCTGTTAGGGTCCCAGCTATGGGCAAATAGTTAACCCGCAAATTGGGGTCAAACACTATGAAAGAGTAAAAATAGATTTTAATACCAGAAATACTTACCTGCAATATATTATTGCCAGCAATACATTTTTGAAGAAAAAAATATTACCAAAAATAGATTTATTAAGGAAATAAATATTACCAGCAACAAAAATTTTGTTGGCATTAAATAACCCATTGAGGTTGATATGCCGTAAAACAAAACAAAACAAAACAAACTATCGTTATGAATCTATTTCAAATTTTGTTGACATTAAATGACCCACTTGCTGGAATCTGTCCCAGAAAGACGGTCGAACTCTCTGCCTTCGGGCAGAGAGGAACCCGGATGAGGCTCTGCCGAAGGGCAGAGTCTCGTTCGGGGAGGTTGACCAACCCGATTCTGTTTTTACAGTTTTTACGGGCATTTTTTGGCCGAGCCTACGGGATCGGAAAACCCACGTAGAACTCGGCCCTGTGCCATATCTTTCCCTCGTGGGGGGCAAGTAAATATTGCCATAAACAAAAAAAAAAAAAGAAGAAAAAAGAAAAAAACAACCAACCAACCAGAAATAGATTTTGGAAAAAATATTACCAACAATGAAAATATTGTAAGCATTCAGGTTGATATGCCGTAATATAAAATAAACCAAACCAATCTAAACCAAAGTATATATATATTCTATTCGTAGGAATCTTTCCTAAAAATGTTGTCGGCATTAAATAACACATTGAGGTCGATCTGCCATAAAACAAAATAAATAATGTAATAAACCTGACTGGGAAGTAAAACTCGGCTCTTCGATTTCTTATTAACTTTTTTACGGGAACCAAAAAGCAGATCAGAAATATTTAGTTCGCTTCTGATTAGTTAAAAAAAAAACATTGAGACTCTGTGGTATGTTCTCGACTCACATCTGTATCTAAAACTATCAGGTCATCCCATAAGTTCTGTCTGAATTTTAACTTTTTGTTAAAATGAACGAAATTTAAAAAGTATTTTATAATGTCTAATGGAGCTGAACACTATTTTTATGTTTAGATGCATTTAAACTGATCAAATTTTATTTCAGAGAACAATAAAATTAAATCTTGTTTGATTAAAACCCTGCTAAAATGGAAGTACCCAAGAATCATTTGAGGCACATAATGTTTTATGAGTTCAAGAAAGGAAACTCAGCAGCCGAAGCGGCTAGAAACATTCACTCAGTTTATGGACAGGAATGTGTGAATGAAAGAACTTGCAGAAGATAGTTTGCAAAATTCAGAGGTGAAGATTTCACCTTTGAAGATGAATATCGAACCGGACGTCCAGTTGAGTTTGATGAAAATTTCTTGAAGCAGCCCTTGAAGAAAATCCTGCTTTATCAGTTGAGGAATTGGAAGTGTTTCTCAGTTCAAACCATAAAGCTGGTCATCCTCATCTTCAACAACTTGGAAAAGTTCCTAAACTTGGAAAATGGGTGACTCATGAAATGTCTGAAAACAACATCAAATCCCGAGTTGACATCTGCTCTTCTCTCCATTCTCGCCAACTTGTTTCACATTTTTCAGGTAGGCTTGTGACTGGCGATGAAAAATGGATCTTTTATCGAAATTTTAAGCATCGTAGACAGTGGCTTGGTAAAGGGGAAGGACCCCAGCCACAGCCGAGAAAGAAACTTCATCGGCAAAATGTTCTTCTTTCAATCTGGTGGGATCACCAAGGAATAATCCACTTTGAATTCTTAACACCTCATGCAACAATTAATGCTCAAATATACTGTCAGCAATTAGAGCGTTGGAACCAAGCTTTGAGGAAAAAAATACCTGCTCCAGTGAATCGAAAAGGGGTGATGTTTCATCAGGACAAAATTCACAGCAAGAATCACGTCAGAAAAGATCAAAGAACTTGGTTGGGAGAAATTCCTCGTCCACCTCATTCTCCCGATCTTGCTCCTTCAGACTACCATTTGTTTCGTAGCTTACAGAATAATTTGGAAAAAACGGCTCTTGTAACACAGGAAGAAGTTAAAACTGACATTTGTGAGTTCTTCGAATCAAAGCCAAAAGAATTTTACAGTAATGGAATTAGTAAGCTTGTTAATAGATGGAAGGAATCATAGATAATCAGGGAAAATACATTGTTGGTTGAATCTGTAATTAAATGTAACATTTGGTCACTTGTTTTCTTTATTCAAAATTCGGACAGAACTTATGGGATGTCCAGATACATGACTTGTAATCTGTTTTGCTTTAGCACTGACGTTCAGCGTCTATATATTTCAGGCGTCTTTTTCAGGATCCTCTCTTTTTCAAAGGTCCTGTCTTTTAACAAAAGTTCTGTTAACACCGACTAAGACAATACTTAATTTCTACAAGATACTATTTCGTGGTGCTTTTTTATTTGTTATTAGTGAGACGTTACTTAAAGAGTACATTTTTCACCCTGGGTAAAGGGTGTTTCAACAAGCATCGAATCAATCAGAAAGATCAGCCCACCGATATTCCAGATGGGGGGGGGCGCTGAAACTTATGTCTTGTTCCAGAGTTACATAGGCGTACTTGAACGTCATAGACGAGACAAAAGAAAACTCAATGAAACAGAAAAGAAAGAATGGAGATTCATTTGAAATGTCACAGATAATCTATTTTATCTTTAAGATTAATGTATGCATAACGTTTGTTCAGTGCCCATCAATTTAAGACAAATGAATGTGGTAATGGGAATATCAGTGGTTTCCCTATAAGGAAAAGACCGATCGAACACTGCAACCCTATAAAATCTTTCTATTAAAATGTTTGTTCAGTAAAATAGAATTCTCTATACTATCGCTCTTTCCAGTGGTAATGAAAAAATCCCTACTAATATTTTGTTTGATGTCGTATGGATCAGCAACATCTTGAATTTGACATTATTTTCTCTCCTGTTACACGTGTTATCCACTTTAGTTGTTGCTGCTGTTGAAAGTCTATCAGTAATGTTATTAGTCTTGCTTAATATATTTCAATTTTGTGGTGCTGTAGGGCCAGGAGTAAAACGATCCTCGCAAAGACGACTGTTTAAATCAGTGAACTGAGAAAGCGTTTGTATATAGCTGATAATTTATACATTGCTGAACAGACTTGGCTGTCTGTTTGCTTCTCGGCATGTCAACTCCTCATGGGTCATTTAATGCTGAAATTTAATTTTCTTGGGAGCAATAGTAATTTCATTTAAAGAACTGCATTGCTGGTAATATTTTTTTTCAAAAGGGTATTTCTAGTATTTTTTTTAATTTTTTTTTTACTTTTTTGCAAAAATATATTGCTGATAATTTTTTAAAAATATGATAAAGTATTGCTGTTATTTTTACTTTCCATCTCTTCCTGAGATCATTATCAGGTGTGAAACTGGTAAGGCAAAAACAATAAATATATATTTGACGCCCCACTGAGTCTGGATGTGACACAATGTCAGTTTTAACGTGGGGAACCCGAGTGTTTCCACTCGGGCCACTGATCTAAGCTGGTCTGAGCTGGTCATAGCTTATCGAAGCCAAGGTAAATCAAAAACTATGTGTCG